TTATTTAAAAAGAAAATCTATATCAAGATAATTAAAAATAGCATACAATTTGATCCCTTATATTCTGACTTTTAGAACAGGTGTACACTAGCTTTTTCTCCACCCTCCTTTTTGCTTCATCTTTTTTTGAGACCCTTTGTTCTTTTTGGAAAGATGGAGATATTCTTACTTAGCCTCAAATGTTACCATTTATAAGACTATGCACAATTTAACTTTTTTTCCTTTGCCAAGAATAATTTATCAAAATATTAGAATAAGACTCTGACTAGTTAAGAAACAAAAACTTTTACTAACTTCCTAATATAGATATTTATATTAACTGCTTTTATTTTATTTAATAAATATATTAATTTGGTTAATGCAGGTAAGAAAGTAAATAGCAATTTATATTAATGGCCCAAGAATGAAACTCAAAGGAATAGTAAAGACATTTGATCTTTTCCTTGGAGTAAGATGTCCAAATCTTCAAGCTCCACAATTTTTTTACTAATAAATCTGTTATATTAATGACAGAAAACTTGGTCTCAATAGATGCAACAAGCACTTTTTTCCCTTCAAATAATAAGACAACAAAAATCCACCATGAAAATGTAAAAATGTAATGGAAAGAATAATTAATCGAGGTGATAAGATCCATCCTTTTCAACTTTTGTAGAGAATAAAAATAAATTTAAAAAAACATATATTTCATCTCAAGCTAGCTAGAATCTGAATGTATTTACAACAGCAGAAAATTGGAGGCATGGCCATGTGGCTGTGTTAAAATCTTTGTCAGTTTCCAATTCCTTTATATCATTATCAAGGTTCTTGATCTGTATGTCCTTTTATTTGGATGGAGAATCACATAAATTCTTCCCAAAAAGTGAAATACTTTTTCTTAAAGTGCTTTTCATTCCACCAAATATCTCATTTTTTTTTCTCTCTGTACCATCTTTTTCACCTGCTGCACCTCTTACACATGTAAAATCCAAAAACTATATATGAAGTGATATTATTTTATTCAGAACATTTTAAAGATTAACAACTTTGATGGCTAGAAGGCCTCTGTTGTGTCATATGTTTGGAATATCAAGCTGGCCTCTCAAATAAAATATAGTGTTATCCATAAAAAATATACTAAGTGAATTGAGGTAAAAGAAAAGCGATGTGAGTCAAATTGCTAAGCTCAAGTTGAAGGGACTAGACCACTTGACCCGACTAGTCAACTGGTCTACAAGGATGGTCTCCATGTGCTAGAAGTTGTCCCACATCGGAAAAGTAAAAGAGATGTGTTCCAACTACTATAAAAGGAGCTCATGGGCTTGAGTTTTAATCTTCCCAATTGAAATAATTTAAGTCTCCTATACCAGCTCTAGTTAACTGAGCGGTATTTGCTTTTGGGGTCGCGGAGAGAAATCTATGTGATTGTAATAATTTTTCACATAGTGGATTTTTTCTTGTGAGTCGTGGTTTTTTCTCCGGTTTGGAATTTTTCCACGTTAATTCTTGTGTTTCTTTATTTTATTGCTTTCTTTAAATTTCTTGGTTATTTTTTGCTTATTCCTTGAGTGGAAGTAGGAGATTTTTCCCATCACGAGAAGCATGGAAGTAGGAGATTTTTCCCATCACGAGAAGCATTTTCATAAAACTATTATTTGCTATTCTTAACTGAACATTTAATTATGAGAAGAATACGTTGGGCTTAACACCAGAGTGGTGTGCATCTATGGTATGTGCACGTATTTGTCGGATTATTCAAGCTCTATACTTAGATTCAAGTCCTAAGGTATTTTATTTTAACCTTTACAAGTTTTAAAATGATTCAAAATAACACTTGATAATTATGTATATTTTATGTTGACTTTCTTTTTTTCGTATGCTCCTTGCTGTCAAGTTTTTGGCTCTCCCAACAAAAAAGAAGTCAACTAAGGTGCCATTTAATTAAAAAGAAGTATCACCTAATTTGTCTGAAGAAATCGTCACAAAAGAGAGAAAATGTAGCATAATTTGAATAAAGTTTTACAAAATTAATAACAAAGAACTTATAAATAAAACAAATATTACACATATATTAGGAATTCTACTAAATCAATTGGTAAGTTAACCATCAGTTATATATATGTTAATCAGTAGCCATTATATGAAATAAAAACATACTGATTTGTATTTACTTCAAGTAATTAAAGATACGCAGTTTAGAAAATTATGGTACTGATCCATAGTTTTCATGACAAAATTTATACCAATTTGAAACAATTCTCAAGTTATAATTTTTCTTTTTAAATTTTAGAAAGGCAAAATTTATTAAAACTCTCTCGAATCTCAACAACTCAAAAATATATATCTTATCCGTGATTAAATTTTATCGTTACATCAAGACTATATAAATGTTAATTATACATCAAGCTTTAGTGGGTTGAAAAATCTAACACTTTTTGATCTCTAGGTAAGTTACGAATGCCTTAACCAAATTATGAGCTTTTAGAGAATAAAAGATTGGAAAGTAAGATAATAATAAGCTGGATTAATGTGTACAAACCCTAACTATTTGGTTTTTGTTTTACATATTTCCATGTGAGGGATTAGAGCAGCTCAAAGGCCTTTCTGGTAGAAACCGTGAATGTTTTTCCAAGACTCCTCTTTCTGCATCTTCAACTGCTTGTAGAAGTTGCCAATAAATGTCTCAGCTTGGACAAACAGTTCTTGACCGCCATTTCCACCGCGGCCAGCCTCGTCTTCCACCTCCTCGGCCTCACTGTCGCCGTCTCCGATGAAGAAAATGCTGGAGGCGGAGGGACACTTCTTCAGAGGTTCCACTTTGGCATAATCACCATAAGGGATCTTGTCGGAGTGAGCCTTGTCCAGGGACTTGTGTTTCTTGCCGAAACTTCGATCTGCAGCGGCCTCCGGCGCAGTCCGAGAAGGCTTGTTAATGTCGTCCTGATGTGGAGGACTGGGGAAGGGTGATTCTGAGAGAAGTCCAGCCTGTGCTCCAAGGGCAATGATGAGGAGGTTGAAGATGAAGTACAGATAGGTGGGCCTGAAGGATGAGGAGAGAAGAGGTGTGAGAGCAAGAAGAGCAGTGAGGCCAAAAAGAAGGACAATTTCAGATTTCTTCAACTTGTTCATGGCTTCTCTTCTGCTGCTGCTTCTGAATTGGGTGCTCAGAAATGAGATCCTCAAAGTTGTTTGGCCCATATTTATGCAGGATGGTTTTATATATGGAGGGATGATGATGAGTTTTGGAGGATAAGGAGGTGTGATCTTTTCCTTACACATACCCATATTATTTGCATATTTTACAAATATATCCCTACTGTCCCAATCTCCAAAACATGCGCAACTACATCAAAAAGTACTTAATTAGAAAATTTTATAATTAGATCAATAATTCTTGAAGCTCAAGACGAATATGATTTTAATTGGCTAAATTAAGCTAACTTTCTAGGGAAGCAAGTGTTTCTCTCCTGCTATTCTGAATTTTGAACGTAGTTTAATTGGTTAAGAACATATATTGTCAATCAAATATATTTGAGTTTCCACCCCTTAAACTAAAAAAAACCTAAGAAATGTGCTTCTACTAACTTTGGAGCTAATGTTGGTGCCAATCAAAAGTGAAATAGATCAATTATACTGTGTAAGGTATCCCTTACTATTATGATATTCAAAATAGAAGTGGGCCTCAGGCCATACAACGAGCCACAATCAATTAGAGAGGATTGGGAATCTCTCCTACCTATTCTGGCCACTTGGAACAAAACAAAACATAACCTCCCTAGCGCCTACTACCCTGCGCAAATAACCCCCAAAGGCCAAACAACCTTACAGAAACTTCCCTTCACGATCCTAACTGTCACCTGGGGAATTATATTTTGTATCCTTCAGAGTAAGTAATGAACACTGGAGGCCTCACAATACCCTGCGGTTCAACCAGCCATTCTAACTCATCTGTCAGTATTGGCGGGGACAAAAACTTATGTTCGAATTCGGAAGTATACGAATCGTCACAAATAATATAGAAGTAAAGTATCGTTTTCACAGGGAATGAATGATTACTAATGACCAAAATCTCGACTTCAATTTTATCTGAATGTCGAACGTTTAATGGTGGTGAAATGAAGTAATTATAAAAGAAACTAGTTCAATAACAAAAGAAAATATCACAACTATAAAGAATCAAGAGTAAATTCAAGAGGATTAGAGCATGACTTCACCGATATCACCCTTTAACTTTTCCTACTACTTTATTCAAAACTTTTCTAAACAATGGTTGTTGGCGGGCTCTACCCTATTGACTTGATATTCTCTCTCAAGCAATAACGATTTTATTCGAAAAGTAGAGTATCTAAACCCAAAAACTATGCCACTAAATTCACAAGAATATCTCTATCCCTTGGTTTAATTTCGGGAGAACTATTCAAATCTAGTTAATAATCTTGTTTCTCAACCTCGATTTATGACAATGAATCAATGTAAAGAATGACCAAATCTCAACAATGCATTAAGAATATAAAAAGTTATCACAACCAACAAGTTTAGAAAGAAATCAAATAAAGAACATAGAAGAGTCGAGTTCGATAAATGCTACATCAATGCCCTAGAAAATTTATTTAGTTCATGCTTGAATCCACAAAAAAAAATCTCAATCAACATCATTAAAGGAAGTTGAAGCTAAAGGAGAGAAAGAAGAAGAGAAAGAAAACAAATCCAGTGATCTCTCGAGCTTTGATTCACTACAAGAATTTAGTATTTTCCCGACGCTATTTTTTCCAACGCTTTTATTTTCGTCAGGATTTTAAGCCTTTCGCGACGAAAATAAATACGTCGGTACTTTTTCCCAACGGAATTAGTATTTTGTTGGGAAAAGGGCTCATCCCGATGAAAATGTTTTCGTCGGGTTTAAATATTCCCGACGAAATTTATTTGGTCGGGATTTAAATCTAGCCCGACGAAATAATTTCCGACGAAACATAATGTTTTGTCTGCCCTAATTTTTACTCCCCTCCCTCTCTCCCACGACAAAAACGTTTTCCTAAATCAGCGTCACCCCCTCGCCTGCCAGTGTCTCCAACTTTACCCCTCCGTTTTCCGTCGCCGTCGGTAAGCCTCTCATCTCCCTCATATATATATATATATTTTTTTTGCAATTTCTCCCTCATACATATAATGACTTCGATGGTCCTTTCTGTGTTTCTCACTATTTCAAACCCAAATCCACCGATAATGCCCTAATTTTCACGATTTCTACTAAATCTTGTCAATTATTCAGGATGCTGAAACCAAGCAGAAGAAGCAGGAGTGCTACACTGATATCGAGAGGTTCGCATTTTTTTCGAGCTATTTTTAGGGTTTATTTTCCTCTCTCGAACTTAACGTAGTTGGAAAATTATCTGAGAAATTTTAGAATGTGATGCCCCCTTCCTATTTTTATTCTTCCAGATTATTTGAGCTAATTTCGTTTTATTGTCCTCTGTTATTCGTGGTTTTTCTTCTCTCACTAATTTTCATTAATTTATGAGTCCATTTTTACGAGTTGGACTTGTATTAATGCAGCTCGAGGAAGGAGAGAAGGACCTTGCTAGGAGTCAAGAGTATAAGTATTGTATCTATAAATAAGTTCAGCAATTTTGTTCAATTTTCCGGAAAACAAAGTTGATCATTTATCATTTTAATTATTGGCTTCGTGATTCGATAATGTCTACTTTTCCAACTTTCAATCATAAATACATTGGTTCATAAGTGGGAATCCAAATAAACTTCAATGCTACAAGAATCTATGCTCTTAATGGGATGCAGGAAAAAAAACTGTAATCTAATTCATTTTGTCTCCGTATTTAGAAATGGGATAGGAGATGGGTATCGAGCTTGTCTCCTAAATATGGTTGTAGTTCTAGTTTCAAAACCCATTGAAATTAGCTATGACGTTTTAAGAATCTGAAGAAGAATTGATATGTTTTATGCAATGCTATGATTAGGAGTAGACTTCAAGTATATGTATCCATTTTAGGGATTGGTTTTAGGGATTGGTTTTGGGAAACATGCCTTAGAAACATTGAATAGAGAGAAAACATTTTAGTATGGTAGTGTATTGAATGATCCAAGATGGATTACGTTTTGTAATATAACATTGAATATGACCCTCATAAAGTCATATATTATCTTATTTTAATGTAAGAATACTTTATGTGACCTCTTCGTTAGTTTAGGAATGTTAGTTGGATATTGTGCAATTTAACATTGTTTACCATTGTAAATTTGTTGAATTATGAAAAAGTAGTGTCTTATGGGTAATGCTTGCAAATGCAAAAATATTTGATAACCAACTTTGATGATTAATTTTGGATATATTTTGACACAGAAGAATATCAAAAGCTTTCAAGACTCGGGAGTACTAATATTGTGTTATTTATATTTTTGGACTAATCTTTTAATAAAAAACAATTTTATTAGACTTGTTTTACAGGCTGTCTTTTTATGTAACATGATTTTTGCGTAAGGAACACTTAATATTGGATATTAATATTTTGGGTCCAATAATATATAAAAGGAAAACTGTATATAGAAAATGGGAAAAAAAAGAGATACCGACATTAAATGTCGCAAAAATCCAAAATTCCCGACGTTTGTGTAAAGCGTCGGCAAATGTAACCTTTCCCAACGTTTTTGAACAACGTCGGGTAATTCCAGACGTTTTCCAAAATTTTCGTCGAGAAGGTCTTTCCCGACTGCCTTTTCCCGACTTATTTTCTGACGACAAAAGAATGTCGGGAAAGCTTTTTCCCGATGTTTTCAATACTTTTTCCGACGTTTTTCTATGTCAGGAAAAACCTTAATTGTTGTAGTGGTTCTTCGCATTCCTTCCAATCTTCTCAAAATCCCCCCTTTTCTCTCTAAAAAACATTTTGCTTCTCTGATTTCCCTCTTTTTTCTCTGTTTTTTCCTCCCAGCGGCTGGGGTTAAAATGAGATATTTAACAAAATTTTGTAGCGGCCATCTAGGCGCCCAAATGCGTGCCTCTAAAATTAACAGCTTCAACATTCGTAGCGCCTAGGCGCCCAACATTTTGCCCATCGGTGCCTAGGCACCCAACATTCTGCCATTTTGTCAATTTTCGGCACTTAGGCGCCCAACGCACTGGAATTTAACCCGAAATACTAAAAACGATTAAACTATCCAAAGAAAATGTCCGTATAAACTATCAAATGACTAAAAAACATCCTAAATTACAAGAGCCAAAAGTCACTTATCAAGATTGCACATTCACGGTATCTCCCACTGCCTTTTTCGACTATGAGAAACAAAATACTAGGTGGATGGTTGATTCCTTCAGCAATGCTAGCTTATAGGCAACTGGACCAATACGTTCGAGGATCAATTGGTGTCATCGTTGGGTGCATCACTGCATCTAGAAGACATAATGTGTATTAATAGTCCTGAGGGAAAAAAAAACAAAGTTACCCCTAACACGTGCATAATCGCCTCGGTGTGGACGAACGGCTGCTTAAAAACTCTTTAACCACACCTTCTCAGATATGTGTTATGGTGGTGCAAAAAACGTCTCCCAACCCTTCTCCTATAACTGATTCTTCACATATTCCAGCACTGTCTCTTGTTCATTAGAAAAACCTTTCTCAATCAGGAGATGTCTATCCTCGAAATTTGTCTTCTTCACTCAAATATGGATTGTTCTTCTTCGAACAATTGGCCGCTGACTGGCCACCTTTTGCTCACCTTCTTCATTGCGCTTGGATGACATGAAATGGGATGCAACATCTCTACTAAGACTGGAGCTTCTAGCATCATGTGAGGGCCTGCATTTTCTCCTTTTTGTGGAGTCGGTCGAGCCAAAGAAGCCCTTGTTCTCAGTCTGGCCAAGCGCCAGCCACTATTTTTGGATTCTTCTTTCTTTTCTTCCATTTTTCCACCAAATCATCTAGGCATATCCCATCTTTTGAGCTCTCTACCATAGGCACAAAATTCAGGTTTAGATGTAGAAGTACTTGAGATTGAAGGACACAAACCATTTAGGTGATGAAGGACTAGTAGCAGAGGACTTATGGGACACATCCTCAGGATCAGATGGCTCATTTCCTATTGGTGAAGTAACATCTTCCTTAGACCCAGTAGCTTTGTTCTCATCGTGCTCTAATGCTCTATCTGGTGTTCTCATTCTAACCTCATACTGCATCATATTATCCCCTCACTCTTCCTCATTATCCAGACCACAAATCTATTGTGGACTATGAAAATTATGCTCACAAATAGCCAATGGAACTGCTAGCTACTAAAAAACATCCATATCCTCATCATGACCCAATGCATCATCCCCAATTTGCTCTCCCGCAGCCTCTTGTGCATCCTTGGCCTCCTGACCTTTTTGGGTCTCTACTATAACATCAAAACTCATAGGCAATTCATTAATATGCTGTTCAGAAAAATTGAGAGATGAAATACCGAGGATTGAAGTCAAATATGTGCTGAAAGCAGTAGCGTCAGCCACTACTTTGCTACTTATTTCTTCGTTGTCAGAATCCGTGTGAACTAGAGGCTTAGTGTTGTGATCAGACTAGAACTCATCCCACTCTATCTTCTCAGTACATGTCTTTACAGTAGGGGTAACAGGCAGTTGGTCGGGTTATGGAATTGGTAAGTCCTTAGGCAGAGATTGAGGGATCTCTAAATTAGGGCCTCTTTTAAGCTCTTCAACAGCCTCCTTAATTATTTCAGTAATTCTTAACGACCTTTCCATAGTGGCTTGCCACTCCTACGTCATTTCTTAATATCTTCAAAACTATATTTCCCACTTGTTTCTTGCCTCTTTGTTTTTCTAACATGCAAGCTCCCTCCTTTCGATTTTCTTGTTCACTTATCCTTTTAGACTCTTCCACTCTGTCCACATTCTTCTTAGTAATTGGTTTCTCTACTGAACTTGATGGGGTAGGCATAAGGGCATGCGTAATTCGACTTGTACTCTGTAGCATTTGAACAACCAAAAGAGAAAAAAGGGCAACTAAAGGAAGACAGACCTTGCCCAGAAGCTCTCGTAGCTCTAATGGAACCAAGCTCAGTGGTGTAGGTGGTGGTGGAATAGGTGGGCAGCCTTCCTTCCCTTTTTGCACATTCAAAGAAGAT